GTGATTGGATTGTAGGACTGTGCAGTAGTGAATGGATTAAAAATGGTGGTCAGGGGAGTGGTTCTGAGGGCTTTAAAAGAAGAGGAGAGTCTCTCATTCTGTTCTTTCTCTGCTCTCTCTGCTTCTACCGTCTTGAAACATGAGACCCCTGGGTCACTGTCACCACCACCAGATGGACTTTAGACTTCCCAGCCTCAGAAACTGTAAGCAATCAAGGTTGTTTTCTTTATAAATCACCCAGTTTTAAGTATTTTGTTATAAGCAACAGAAATGGACTAACATAGAGGTAAAGAAAAGCAATCCATGAATAGATTCATAAAATGTAACAACATTGTTGCATTGGGCTGGTTTGTGTTTCCTCTGGCCCATCGTTCATCTCTCACTTTCCAATGAGCTTAGTTTTGTTAGTTTTTTAATTAGATATCAATTTGTAAAATGTTATTTGTTCCTCCTATAGAGAATTAAATTAATAAAATGTTTAGAGAGAGATTCTCCAAATAAAAAAAGTTGAATTAAAAGTAATTTTCGGGGCCGGCCCGGTGGCGTACTGCTATAGTGCACCACTTGGGAAGCGTGGCGGGGGCGTGACACTGAGGGTTGCGATCCGTTGCCGGACACGGAAAAAGACAAAAAAAAAAAAGTAATTTTCAGCTTCTTCATCTGAAGGCATAAGGGTAAGGCGAGGCCAGGTATGGCCTCCTGGGCCTGGTGAGTCCACTAAACTGGGACCCCCAGTCATGGGGTCAGAAGCTGGGAAAATGCGATGTCATCAGGCTCCAAACCCAAACTCCACAGTTGGAGTCACCAGGGTACAACAGCAGCACCATTTCCACCAGGTGACGAATAGCTTATCCCCGCTGGGGTCTCATTTCTGACTGGTGAAAACTTTGAGAAATGTGTTTATGCAAGCGTGAATTAATAAAGTCATAGATGTGAATGCTAATCACTGCTAAGAAGCTGGTGAAACAGAGACTCCCTTCTGAAAGTCCTTTTGTTTTTTGAAGGATAAGAAAGAAGGGGATTTTTTTGTGTGTGTGCATATTTTGGCTTTTGGGGAGGTGGGAGCAAATTGGGGGAATGATTTTAGATTACAGCACAAGTACGCTGCACACTAAAGACAGGTATTCAGCATTTGAATAGGTTTGTGAAGATCTTGTATTTATCTTTACTTTTTGTTTTTAACATTTACTTGTACACATTTGTGGGGTGCAGTGTGATGTTTCAATTCATGCGTATACTGCACCATGATTCACTGAGGGTAGACAGCATGGTTTTGTAGCCATTAGTCCACCACTTGTCCTTACGTTTATTATTTTGGATAAATACCACAATATTTGCTAGAACATGTCTAAGTCGAGATCTCAGTTCCGTTTCTTACTTTTATTTTTTATTTATTTATTTATTTTTTAAAGATGACCGGTAAGGGGATCTTAACCCTTGACTTGGTGTTGTCAGCACCACGCTCAGCCAGTGAGCAAACCGGCCATCCCTATATGGGATCCGAACCCGTGGCCTTGGTGTTATCAGCACCACACTCTCCCGAGCCGAGGCGCCACGGGCGGCCCACAGTTTCTTACTTTTAAATTACTGGATGTCAGTGCATCTTGATTACTTCTATTGTCCTGTTTTCACAGAGATTTCAGGTGTTTTGTTTGCTTTAAAAATTAGCACATGCAGTAAATCTTTAAGATGCTAACTCCATTTAATTATCAAGAGTTTTATCCATAGCTCTCCTAAAACTGCCCCAGGGTCCTACCCTGTGCTAAGAGTTGTGGTGACCTGGGGGTGAGGAGGTCTGCAGGGGTGAGCTCCTTGCCCCAGCTCCTGAGAGCTGCTTATGGGCATCTCTTCCCAGCTCCCCGATTTATGATGTCACATTGGTAGTTTAAAATTGGCCATGCTGAGATTATTTACACCACAGAAATTGGAAAACTCTACAAATCAGGGCTTCCCCACCCCCAGCAGGTTGTTAAATATTTGCCAGCACACCACTGGGTAGGGGTGGGCATGGGTGGGCATAGATAGGCGGGCGGGTAATTTTCCTTAAGAGGAAGTACACGGCAAGGCTGGATCCCACCAAACCATGGAAAGCTGAATGGGTGACCCTGCAGCACCGTGTGGGTCAGAGGCAGTGGCTGGTGGACCATTGCTATACCTGTTCGGCCAAAAGAAAGCACGAAACCCATCTTTAATTTTCACTATGATGCAAACACATGGAGTCGTTCTCCACATGCCCCGCTCTCTTGGGGAATCTGCTCAGCTAGGCAAACTGAAAAAGGAACTGAAGAAAGAAAACATGCTGGGCCAGTGCCAGGCTGAAACCCCATGCAGAAGGGCTGAACCACACCCAGTGCTTAAAGGACAAGGTCAAATCTAAGTCCCCCTCCACGTGTTCCCCAAAACCACACCGCTGCAGCCTCATCTTGTACATGACACTCTGCTGGATATTCGCAGCCTAATAGAATTGCAATGGGAAGTAGGGCCCTTGTGACCCCGTTGGAACAGCTGATGAATTGCGTGCATTCTCCAGTCATTCCGTGGCTCTCTCCCGCCGGGTCGGAAGAGCCCAGGGGAGGGGTGCTGCCACCGTATGCTCCAGGAGCCATTGCACGCTATAGGGAAAGCCCACTGCCTCGGACAGGCAGACCCAGGTTGGCTTACCTCTTACATCCTGGTGACTTGAAAGCTGTTTGAGAACTAGAAGACAGAGAGGAGGATGACTTCAGTACAAATGTCCATTCTGAACCGGCAGGGACTAGCGGTTTTTGTTTGAAACCAGAAAGCTGGGGTTTACCTTCTGCTGTGAGGTTAAACTCAGCAGTCACTTTTCCATAACTGTTCTTGATGCAGCAGTAATAGTGACCCTGGTCCTTCTGACTGGCTTGAGCGATGGCAAAGGAAACAGTGGAGTTGTCCCCTGCGCTGTAATGAGGGATGTTAACATTTACACGCGTCATCCGTTCTAAAGGTGCACTTTTCTAATGTGCTTAAGGAGACAGAAACAAACGCTTTCCCTGCCCTCATGTTTTCAGGCAATGGACTGACTAAAGGACAGGATTGCCATAAACTTTTTAAATAAGTTACTCCTCCATAGGCAGGGTCATTACATTTTAGTATGACACTCTCACTCCAATATGCCATGTGAATACACAGAAACATCTAGGGGGGTTAACTGCCCCGAGAGCAAAGATTGGAATTGTGAATTCTGGGCGCTGTTGTTAACATTTCTGCTCAGAATTCACCTCAATTATGTTACTAATCCAGGTTTCCTGTACTTGAAGGAAATCTGATAACTCCAAATCCAAACCCAAACAGACACAATAAAGGACAAGAGAAAGAGGTCCTTTGCTTTTAAGGATTCATGAATGAGGGTTCTTTTAAATAGCGTACTCCTCGCTGAAGCCCAGCCACCCACCCAATCACCCACTCGATATTATTAAGTTCCAGACACTGTTCGATGAACATAAGAACTGTTGTTGGTGGTGGTGGTGATGATGACAGCTAATGTGTATTGAACACTTGGCACATACCAGGCATTGATCTATTTCACGTTGTCCTCAGAACAATCCAATGAGAGAAGTACAATTACTAGTCCCAGTTCACAGATGAGGAAACTGAGGCATAGAGAGGTTTTTTGTTTTTTTTTTTTAAGCAAATGATCTTGACTTTGTTAAGTTACCTCCCCAAGTAAATTACAGTTCCAATCCTCAAGTCTGGGATAATTTGAATTATGGTGAGAGCCACAATCTTTATTCCAAAATCTCAGACAAAAAACTTACTTTGCATCAAAAAATGATATTCAAATATTCTAGTTTTGTTCTTTATAATAAAGTTTATTTAAACATCCACCAAGATCACATACGTGTGTGTGCATTGCCTGTTTCAGTTTTGGTTAATTTCATAGTTTAACAACAAAAAATCCACTTATCTTGAGTTTTTCTCTGTTGCACATTCAACAAAAGTGTTCATTATTGGTTGTTTTTTCAATAGATCTCAAGTCTCTGATTTATAAGTGACTCTTCTGGGATGTACCAGTGGTTTAAAACAACATCCACTAAATTATAATACTTCCTCCACTGATGGGGCCTTTGAACATAGCCTGAATGCATGGTTAAAATGGACATGACAAGCCCAGTTAAAAGGGGAAGATTTCCTGGCAGGACAGTAAAACGCTGACGGAGTCTCCAGGGGGGCTGGTGGAATGTCCTTCTCCAGGGCTCCAGGGCTCCACAGCCCAGTGCAGTGTTTCTGTCATTGAAAGGAGAAGTCAGGATCCACCTGAAAAACTGGGGGCTGAATTAGAAGAATTGTCCCATGAAAATTTTCCTTCCAGCCTAGAAATACTGCAACACTTGGCCCAGAACCAGGAAGATATTTCTGTCTCGGCCCATCACTCCCACCCAAGGCTTTCTTCTGGGAGGAAAGACTTCAGAGTCAGACAGGCCTGGATTCCAATCCTGAGGCTGACCTCAGGCAAGTTACTTAGGCTCCCACCCTCAGCCTCCTCGTCTGTGAAGTCAGAAAGAGCAAGACCACCTCTTAGATGCGTCGTGAGAAGAAACCGACACTAGCTATGGGAAGCTTTACCAAAAAGCCTAGCCTTGTTAGTGGTCATTTACCATTAGCATGGGGAGCAGTAGTATTGCTGGGCTTTCTCCATGAAAGAAAATTATCTCTTTAAATTCCCAAGAGTTATGTTCAACAGCATGTGTTGAGTGTCAGCTATGTGCTTAGTACTGGGGGATTCAATGATGGGAAAAAAGGCACAGTCCTTGCCCCNGCTGGGCTTTCTCCATGAAAGAAAATTATCTCTTTAAATTCCCAAGAGTTATGTTCAACAGAATGTGTTGAGTGTCAGCTATGTGCTTAGTACTGGGGGATTCAATGATGGGAAAAAAGGCACAGTCCTTGCCCCTGAGGACCTCCTACTCTTGGAGGAGATGGATGCTGTGGATTGAATGTCCCCCACCCCAAACTCACTGAAGCTTCAGTTATGTCCCCCAAAGTTCCAGGTATTAGAAACTTGGTCCCCGCTGTGACTGTTGGGAGGGTGGGGAATCCTATTATGGTCATTGAAAGGTGGGGCCTTGAAGAGGTGATTAGATTGTAGGACCATGCAGTAGTGAATGGATTAGTAATGGTGGTCAGGGGCATGGTCTGAGGGCTTTATAAGGAGAGCACATGAGGAGCTCTCTGTCTCTGCTCCACTGTTTTCTGCCATGTGAGACCCCTGCATTGCTGTAAAGCCATCACCAAAAAAAAACTCTCACCAAATGTATTCCCTGAATTTTGGACTTCCCAGCCTCTGAAACTGTAAGCAATACATTTTGTTTTCTTATAAATTACCCACTTCCAGGTATTTTGTTATAAGCAAGAGAAACGGACTAATTCAATGGACAAAAGAAAATACCAATACAGGTGTGGAAAGTGAAAAAAGTGAGGGGCCGGCCCGGTGGTGCACTGCTATAGTGCGCCGCTTGGGAGTGCGGCGGCGCTCCTGCCGAGGGTTCGGATCCCACATACAGACCGGTTCCCGCTCACTGGCTGAGCGAGGGGCAGGCGCAGCACCGAGGGTTGCGATCCCGTTGCCGGTCCTCGTTCGGTACGGGCGCGACACTGAGGGTTGCGGTCCGTTGCCGGACACGAAAAAAGACAAAAAGGAAAAAAAAAAAAAAAAAAAGAAAGTGAAAAAAGTGATCTTGCACCTTTTTGAACCAAGAGGGAAAAGCTCAGTTTCACATCCTGTTACCTTGTAAGGGACAAATATTTTTTACCTTAGGGGAGGAAATGGCCAAATGCAGACGGGGCTGAACAGGAGTGGTGGTTAGCTGCGGAGATAAATGCAAAAGAAGCCTATGTCCACAGTGCGATCAGAGTAACACTGCCAAGAATGAAATTGATGGAGGGAGAGTGTTCCAACCCAGGGACTTCTGAGAGAGCCCATCATCCATTACCAGCCCCAAGGAGCCAGGGGGAGGTGGCAGCACCCTCTGCACACCATCCACTCTGGGCTAAGTCCGTGGGTTGTCTTTCCTGTGGCCATCTGATGAGAACCTACTCTCAGCAGCCACCAGCTCGTCATTCACTGGTAGCCCAGCAGGAATGATGTGTCTCCTAGACCTGGCTCAGCTGTCAGCCAGTCTACCCCATGTTGACAACTGCCCTTTGAAAAAGCCCAGGGTACACCGAGTACCTCTCTCCCCAGAGTGTGGAGTGGGTTCCTGGTTACCAAGAAGATAGTGATGTCCAGTGTAGCACTGGAGGTGCCAACGTGTGATCTACATGGAGCCAGGACCTACCACTGCTCCACAGTTACTCAGAACGAGCTTCTACTTTCTTCTTCTTGGTGTCCTCAGAGGATACTAGTCCTTGTCCTAGCCACAGGAAAGTGCTCTGACACCTAATTTCCAAACTTTAGCCTGTTAAGGATAACATCCAAAACTTGGGGACAAAGGCAAGAGGATGGTTGCATGTCCTTTGTAGGTCACTGTTCAACAGGCTCACCCAAGCATTATTTAGTTACAGGAGAATGCTCCTGTGTTGACTTTGCTGTTCACCATTTAAATAGAACCTCCCCAGACACTTTTAAGTTACACGTTAACTTGTGGGTTTCTATGCAGTAGAAAAGGTAACCCTCAAGTTTTATTACCTTTCAAACATTAACCAGTTTTATATCTATTTGAATATTTATTTCCGCATTCCCTTGCCTGATAGAGTATATAAATCTCCATTCCTCAAATGCTCCTTTGAACAGCTTTACTGGTTTCCTCATTATTTAATAAATTCAAGAAAACCTTTACTACCTGTTTATGTTTTATTTGAGAGATTTCTTTTTTTTTTTTTTTTTTTTTTTCCGGGTCCGGCAATGGAGACCATTGTGCCTGCTGCCCACACCCCGCAGGGGGTCATTCCAGAATCCCGCTGTCATTACTGTATTGTATAGTCTACCAAAATCTATCCAAGAGAAGTCCCTTCTCTTCATTTCATGTTTTCACAACACGTTCTTCTGGCCCATGAACTGAGTACGTTTTATACAGATTATCCCAAGTTAAAAACTAAACCAGTCAGTAAAATGGATATTGATCTGGATCAGATGCCACCAGGCGGTGGCCCCAGTTGGCAGACGGGCTTTATCTGTCTGCACCAGGGTTTTTTTTTTTTTTGTCTTTTTCCGTGTCCGGCAACGGATCGCAACCCTCAGTGTTGCCCCCGTACCGGACCGGGGACCGGCAACGGGATCGCAACCCTCGGCGTTGCTCCCGCGCCTCGCTCAGCCAGTGAGCGGGAACCGGTCCATATGTGGGATCCGAACCCTCCGGCGGGAGCGCCGCCGCACTTCCCAAGCGGCGCACTATCCAGTGCGCCACCGGGCCGGCCCATATTTGAGAGATTTCAACTCTGGAAATAACACCTCAACAAGGCAGTGAGATATTTCCTAAAGGGACATGTAAAACAAAACACTCAACTAGAAATAGGGGTGAGAGAAATTAGTTATCATTTGAAAACCCACCAAAAATATTGTAAATGATCTCTCAATATATAAAGGAGTTATGACTCTCAAATTGTCTCGTGTATTGTGGGTCCCAGCAAGCTAGACACTGTCGCTGAGAAGAAATGAAGCAAACACCATTAGGAATGTGGGGGCCTTGCCCACATGCCATGAGTCAGTGGGATCCTAGAGGAAGGTGAGGCTTTCATAAATACACCTCAAATGGAAGAGGGACCTAGAAGATTTAAGCACCTATTCTGAGCTTAGAGCAAGGCTGGTTAATTGGAAAACACTGACAATGCTGGTTAATGGTTCCTGGCTGACAGTATCAGAAAATAATTAAAATGAATAATTAGCACTTTTTCATAAAGCTCTAGGGAACCCCCTTGATTTAAACATTAAACCATTTCTTCTCCATTATAATTCTTCTTAACACATACACAAGACAGGCAGGATAATGGTGACGCTCTAGGCAAAGGGGCTTCATTATGTCAATCACAATCCAATTAGATTTTTCTGGAGTGATGTTAACAGATACGAAACTCAAACTCAAGTATTCCATTGTCGCATCTTGGAAATAATTTCCAGACGTGTCGCAAGCAGACATATTTGATTAATTAAACAGAAAACTCAGATTTTCTCATGTTTTCAGTCTGTTTATAACAAGATTACGGGAATAGAAGCATCTCCCATGACTCAGAGAGCTGAACTAGGACTTCCTGCAACAGAAAGAAGCTTCTGAGAGTTGAGCTACACTGGTTTCCACTGAACCAGGCGATGTGTTTCTAGAATGTGTCAGATGAGCTTGAGTTCATCAGTTCACTCGAACAGGCCTGCGGTGCCAAGAAGGTGCCTTAGGAAGCCATTAACCAGGTTCGTTCCACGCGGGCCATTCTCGGCAACGGTTCTCACTCGTCTCTTGCCTTGTTCTCCTCTCCTCTGATACCCTGTGACCCAGAAATAAACTGGTTGTCCCATCTTAGAGATGGCTGTGTGTCACCCTCCGTAGCTGTTCCTTTCCTGTAACCTCACGGATTGCTTTTGCCTTTTGATTCACCTTCTTGGTTTTGTTTGGCCTTTGCCTGATTAATGGGAATTTATGAAAACAGAAAACACACAAGCAAAATTCACAGGCATACAAAGGAGAGCTCTTTGACTTTAGGACGACAGAGCCTCAGCCTAGAATATTATTTGACATGTTCCTTGATTTTTAAAATGTAATGAAATGTTCTGTGACTTCCTAAGACCACAGAACTCAAAGGTGCAGAGCTGGGGCAAGAACCCTCCACCACCCTCCCCGTGCAGACATCCCTCACTTACTCTTCTTTTGTACTGTGAGCGTGGATTCTCTGCTTCGATTTTCCTTTTCACTTCCTATAATTTATTATTTTCTTTTACAACTGCATTGTGAAATAAATAAACAACAATTGTGAAAAGTAACCAGGGGCAAATATCTCACCTTCTCTGCACTTGAGCTATCGACTTTGAATCTTTTGTCCACCAGATGGTAGAATCTTCATGAATTTCTGCAAACTGGCAGCTTAGTTTGACATTTCCAGAGTGGTCAGGGAACATCTCGGCTTGGATCTTTTTCAGTAATACTGGAGCTAGAAAAAGAGATTTGCAGGTCAGGGTGGGCAAAAGACTTTCCCATTTTATCTCATTTAATTCTTATAACATTCCCCAGAGGCAGGGATAATAATTATTATCCCTAATTTATGGATGAGGAAACTGAGTATCTGAGAAGAGATGTGGCTTGCCTAAACATAAGCGGGAGGAAAATGGATAAGTCGATCTAATAGAAAACTCTTGCTTTTTGTTACGTAAATTCCTTGGGTGAGGTCTGCAATACTCAAAGTGAAATAGATCTTGAGAGATTTTTTTTAAAAGGGGATTATAGATACTTATTCTATAGTACTTGGGCTACATAAAGATGCGTCTAAATGATTATCAGATGAGACAGGTCAAAAATCAGAGCTGGGGATTAGGGAGTAGAATAAAATCTGGATTATCAAGGGAATTGTGGTTAAGCCTCCAAAATGTAAAAGGCAACTCGACAATAAGTATTGGCTGAATTTGTTGAACTTTCAGGAGAGAACAGACCTATAGTTATTAGAAGTGGGAAAGGATGAGGGGAAGGGGGTTAGGAAGTAATTGGGTAAGGGACAGAAAGAATAATTACGATTTGTAATGATGACCATGCTAATTGGTGAGAGCTTGGCATGCAGGGCAAATGTGTAATTAGCAGGGGCAGCCACTGGGTGGCAGCATAGACATTAGAACAAGAGGAGACGGAGGCCCCCACGGAGAGGTCAGAACCATGTGGTAGGCAGTGAGATTACTGGAAATGTGTCAGTCTCTTACCAACCAAGTGCCATGGCTCCACAGCTTTGGTAACACAAAAGTGCACCTCATTACAAAACATTATACATCCCACAGCCAAGCCCACAGTCACCAGTAGTGAGGCTGTGTTTGATCCACGGACTCAGCTCCCACGTGGGTGAAAACGTCCCTGTGTTCAGTGTGCTTCCCCGGTCTGTCCTGGGAGCCGGCAGACACTGGGGTAACAGATGCTATTTTAATGCTAATTCTCTGCCCAGGAGGCGATAGTGGGCTGGTTCGGTAACAAGTCCTTCAACCAGAGAGTAGCCAAGAGTACTAACAAGATGATGGGAGCCAAGTGCATAATCGAGAGAGATGGAATATGCCAAGTGCCTACTGATGGCAAAACCCGTTTCTGGTCACCTGGCCCTGCTGGCCCCTGCCCGGCTGGGACTGTGTGCAGGTAGCCCATTCCCCCATTTGGGCCGTTTCTCCAAGAGCCCTTCCCATCTTCATGGGTGATTTGGAGACACTGAAATCTTCCTAAGGCTGCCATATCCTGCCGTGAGTACTGAACAAAAAGAAAATTGGGGGATGGAGGGAGGGGCATAAAGTGGGCGGCAGAACTAAATGGTGGTCTTTGGGAGATATGAAGCCGGCTCAGACAAGGGGCCTCCGGGCTTTGGAAAGGACCCCCGTCTGTGTGAGACAGAGGTAGGAATGCGGCTGAGCCAGCTGGAGGAAGCCCGGGCGTGTAGCAAGGGTCCTCTTCTGTGTACATTCCAGCCACTTGTCCAGGGAAAGCAACAGAGAAGTCCCCTGATGAATAGAAAGCTTCATTTGTCCTAAGCTCTGAATGTAGAAAAGGTTTACTCAGCGTTTGTTTGATTTCTTTCAGAATTATCCAAGTCAGTCCCCACTCCCCCAATACACACACTCCAGACTCCTACCCACCAGGTCACTGGCGGGAGGGCATTCAATCTGTGCTCCTTTGGGGATGGCAGGGTGGGTGCCAGACTGCACATTAGCCAGCAGTGATGAGGACTCAGAGTCGTACAACAGCCAGCACCACGAGAAGGAATGAGGACTTCTTCCTCTGGTGCCTCATCAGTGCAACTTCTTTTTTTTTTCTTGGCAGCTGGCCAGTACGGGGATCTGAACCCTTGACCTTGGTGTTACAACACCACGCTCTAACCAATTGAGCTAACTGGCCAGCCCCCATTTTTTTTTTTTTAATTTAAAAATAATGAAATAGGGAGCACATCTCTGACTCAGTTGGATGGTGCTTCCCGGATTGACCCTCATACTTGGCTCCCAATAAATGTTACTAAATCAAAAAAGAAAGAAAGAAATTGTTATGGCTTACACTGGAAAACCAGAACCAAAAACCTCTGTGTGCTTGAGGAATCGGTCAGTAGACAGAAACCCATAATGAGCAAATAGAAAGCAATAAGTTAAAAAGAAAAAGCAAGCCATTGTCACGGGCAGCCCTCTGACACTGCCGTCCCAGATGGGAAATGCTGGAAGAGAATCATTGTCCCATCACGTCACCATCTGTGTTGATTCATGTGGATTAGTGCACACAGCAGAGTCTTATTAATAATACGTAATGAAGTAATTATCACAAATAATTGGGGTCACCATATAAAATAGCATGTCCTTAGTAAATTAAGAAATATGTTGACCAAGCAGTTATTTACTAAGTCAGGACCCTGGCTCTTTCAGTGGAATGACCGAATGTTGGGCTGTAGTTAGGATGGGGAGTTGTAATCCTAAAAAAGTGGATGCCAGTGTGCCAGGCACCTCTTTTCCTATCTTTCCCTGCAAAGAAAATCCCCACAGAGAGAGAGGGGTGGCCCCAGTAGCACCTCCTCCGAAGCTGGGATAGAACCACAGGGTGGGGACCTACTCACGAGTGAGCAAAACCTGCCCTTGACTCCATTTTGCTGTGGACTCAAGGTTAACCCAGGTGAGTGTCCCCTTCTGCTCCCTCTCCAAACGGCTGCCACCTTCCAGTGGAGGCCCTGAGTTCTTCAGAGAGGAGAGGCTGTGTGAACAAGGACCAGTCTTTCTTCTAAGATTAGGTTGGTATCAGTGCAGACACAATAACCTTGCGTCTTAACTAAGTTCTTAATTGATCTCATGGGCGTAATACTCGGCATAGAAATATCCTTGTTTTTAATTTAATAATAATAATGATAATAAAAACCAGTAACTGACAACTGCGAGGGCTTCTGCTGGGCCAAGCACCATTTGGATTACTTTGCATTTTTATACCTGATATGAGTCCTATTACCAGCACTCCCATTTTACAGGAAAGTAAGGCACCCAGAGGCTAAAGCATTTGTCTGAGACCACCCAGTTAGTGGCAGAGGCCAGACTTGAACCCAAGCAACCCAACTCCTAATCATGCCCTGCACCACCATGTTACAGTTTCCTCCCCATGGGTTTGAACACCTGCAAATGTTCCCAACTTTGAAGCTTTGCCCCTTGATGGTCTCCATGTCCTGGGCAGCACTGGTGACTGTCCTTCACTGCCACTTTGGGCTGGTCTCTATCCTGTGGCTTGCAGCCCTCCCAGAAAGCTGCCTGCACTGCCTTTGCAGTCGTTAGTGCTTTGAGCAGTGTGCTGCTGTGACCATCAGCTCTTCAACAGCAGAGCTGCCTGGAAAGTCCTCTTTCCCACGGGGAACTTGAATAATCATGGACAGGAATTCCAAACAGATTGTTTCCTTCTAGCCAAAACCACTTTTGAGATCTTTTAAAACATTCCTTCATCCTCTTTAAATATGTTTCAAAATATATACACAGTACTAATAACCCAGTTGATACCCCCAGACTCTTCAGGAGGCAGTTTTGTGTTTGATTCTTTCTGCATCAGGGGCTGAGGGCCCATTCAATACAGACTGGGAATAACAGACACCAGCCTCAAAGCCTGAGTCCTCGGGTTAGCAGAAGAGAAGATGCCTCCCTTCAGACCAAACAGGGCCGTAACAGCTTCTGCTCCAGGTCACCCAGGCCGCGGTAGCTGGCTGCAGTATTTTCTCTTCTGACTCCTACCAGGCTGCATGGGAAGGGAAAGAAGAGCTCCGAAAGAAAAGAGGCTAAAATTCAGGCCAAGAAATGGAATTTGGGGACTGAAATGATTCCCTAGGCAAAGTATAAGTAGCTTGAATTGCAAGGACTTCTGAGGCTCAAGTTCCAGACCAGAACTGGAACGAAGACCTAAGAGGACTTTAGACTCAGATAAAGGAGAGGGTGAGGTAGAAAGAAATTTTATACTCAAATATGTAAGAAAAACCAAGGTCCAATTATGCCAATTTTAATGAAAAATCAGTGATTAAAGAGGAGTATCCCAAACTGTACCTAAATGATTAGTTCTGTAAATCCTGCTTAGTGTGTGGTCTATTTAATTATACTAATTAGCTACTCTGATTAATGCGTCTGTTAATCTTTTCTTAATCGATTTTTTTTAAAGAAAGGATAATTAAACAGAAAGTCACATTAATCACGCTTCCTCAATCAAACAGGCCTACGGGCAGCCTTTATCAGTGGTCTTTCCCCCAGGTCTCCTGAGAACTTGGTAGAAATGCAAATTCTTGAGCCACATCCCATGCACATTGAATCAGATACTCAGGATTGGCCCTGAAATCTGTGTTTTAACAAGCTCTCTGGGTGATCCTGATCCCTGCTCAAGTTTGAGAAGCAGGGTCTGCACGCACAAGCCCCTTGGCCACAACAACAGCACAGTGTCCAGCTGGTGAGCACTCCCATTAATTGCAAAGGACTCAAGAGGACATAGGAACTTGGCACCTGGTCTTACAAAGCCAAACTTTTAACAATGACAGAAAGCAACAGAGCCTCACCTTTTCCTTCTCTTTTGCACGGTGACTTTTTGGAATCTTTTTTCTCATCTGGGCATGATAACGATGTCTCTAGTTTAGGAATCTTTTTTAGAAAGCTTGAGTTCTCTCTGACATTTTCTTTTTCTTCCAATCTCAGTCTCAAGGCTGCCACCCTGGACAGAATTTTCTTCTTTACTCCCTCAGTTAAGTGTCCACTTCCTGAGGTCTCTTGCTTTTTCTTGACCTCCTCTGAGCCAGTCACTGCTGGTTGGGCCTCTGGTAATTTGCCCATTTGGGCTGCCAGGTGGCTGAGCCTGTCCTTTTCCCTTGGCTTTTTCACGCATCCCAGGGTGCCCTTTTGACACAGGTCCTGCAGTAACCTGGGGGCTTTCTCTGACTCACATTCTCCTGAAATGAATGCCAAAGTCATTGTTGGTGAGACAGATGAGCTTGGGAGTTTGGCTTCCCCAATTTCAGGCTCCTCTGTTTTAGGTTCCTCAACTTCATGGCTTATTGAAATGCGTGTGCTATTTCGTTTAAGAGATGAAGTACTAGGCAATCGCGTAAGATCGCTAGAAGAGGTCAAATGTTTCCCACACTCATTCTCCATAGTTCCTCTTTCCTTTGAGTCAGAAAATACATCCTGACGATGTAGGGGCTCAACTAAGTCATTTTCAGAGATGTCATGAATCCAGCCTGTGGAATTGTGAGTGTCAACCACAACAGATGCAGGAGTCGTCATCGCAAGACAACTAGGAAGAGGTGACGTGGGGAAAGTGAACTCTGCTTTGTCCTTTTTACTCTGTTCGGCTAAGCTTCTGCCAGTGCCTTCTCGTGTCCGGTTTATGCCGCATCCACCTGGAGTTCTCTCCCTGCCTCCATCAGCACACGGGACTTGCCAAATGGCAGGGTGGGCGTCCACTTCTGCCTCACCGTGTTGACTTTGTTTGGCTGCCCCTCTCTCACTGTCCTCTTGGTTTCTGTTGATTCTGTTTTCACTTGGAATGGTCTCCTCTGGAACTTGCAAAACAGCAGGTTGGACTTCCACTCTCCGGCCCAAGTTTCCATCATTCAATTTACTGCCCTCTCCGATGACCCCCTGTGTGCGTTCAGAAGGCACTTGTTGTCCAGCTCTTGTACACTCTATCAAACTTGTTTCGTCAATGGGATCGACAGAGGACTCTAGGATTTTAGGGCAGGTCAGAAACTGTTTAAAGAAGCCAGGATGGTCCACCTCGAGTTGGTTTTCCCCCTGGCCTCGACTCACATTGTTAACATCTTCCTTCCGTCCGGTTTTGGAAGCCTCTGGTAGTGGATCTGCAACACATAATGCCTTTTCATCTATGGGGTCCACGGATGACTCCAGGAATCTGGGTTGGCTCAAATACCGGGAGGAAAGACTGCTCCAGTGTGCTCTGCGGCCCAGTTCTTCACCTTCATGGATCTCTCTGTTATTCGCAAGGGCTGAGTCAGACTCATGCTGCGGACTGTGAGCCAATGTTGCTCCTCCAGAGGCGTCCAGTTCAGGCACAGCAGTATCTGCCTTTAGAACATCAGGTACAGCCCAGACCCTGTCAGGAACTATGGGACCAGCTTCCAACTCTTTGCACTCAGAATGTGTCAGTTCTCTTGGTGGCCAGATTTCTGAAACAGGAGCCTCTAGAGTTACAATCTTCAGCTTGTTGCCTGCTTCCTGATGTCCTAGTCCATTCTCTTTAGACTCCTCCAGAAGAACACTGGAGAGAGATGAAACATTGCTCAGACCCTGACTGTCTTCATCCACCATGGAGACACTCATCCCCAGGCCTGAGCTCTGTCCTCTTTCTTCCCTGGAGTTTGCTGGTGAGTGCTCCAAGGGCACCCAGTTCATTTCCTCTTGTGCAGGAGATGTGGTGGGCACACTTTCTTGAGAATCATCTGCAGAAAGAGAACCCTGGTGGGACAGGCTCCTCTGCTGGATCCTCTGCTTTGTTTCACTTCTTTTTTCCTGGAAGTGCTCTTTAAGGCTCCTATTGACAGCTCTGTCCCTGGTCTGGCTCTCATCTCCTGTCTGGCTATCAATCTGCAGAGGGGAATCGCTACAGAAACTTTCTCCCTCTGGGAGCTGGGGGACATGGCCGTGGGCCCTTGGTACACTGGATGCCATGCAAAGTGGGTCTTCTGTAGGTTTGGTGGTGGGGCCACTTAAAATATGACCCAACTGTACATTGGAAGGAAATTGGACAATATTCTCCTCTGGTGCCTGAGGTGAGCTCTCCTCAGCACCATCTGCATGGTTATTCTCAGCAATGGAAACAGCAAGGTATTTGGCTCTGCTTTGACCTCCTGCCAGTGCGAAGTCTGTGGAGCAAATTTCTTGAGGCAAATATTTATCCACTGGTGCTGCCACACGAGGACCCGTGGCATCACAACATGCTCCTTGGTCACCAGCTTCAAAACACTCCATCACACACGCCACTTCCCTGCCCCTTGGCCCATCGCACACATTTTGCAGGGTGAGGGCAGGATCTGTGTGTTCAGTGGAAGCGACAGAGAGAGCCTCAGGGTCCCTGTGCCCAGCACTGGCATCCTGGGGGAGATGTGCGAAGAGCCCCCCTGGGGACAGAATTCCACACTTGGCTTCTGGGATGCTCAACTCATGTTCAAGGTCTTCCCACCAATGGCTAGGAGTGTTGTGTTCTCTGTCTTGTCTTTTTTCATGCTGTGGGTCTTGAGTACAGCTTTCTACCTCCAGGTATCGGGCCAATGATGCGTGTTCCTCATGGGTCCCTCCTGAGTTGGGGAAGGAATTTGTTGTGGTCCCGATGAATGAAGACTCCTCCCCGGCAGGCTCTGAGAAAGCTGGCATCTGGCTGAGACATGTTCTCTCCCTGACCATTTCCTGAATTTGCACCTAGGAAAATGAAAAGTGTTTTTAATAGAATTGTTCGTGGGAGAACCCACAATAGGTTATAAGTGCAATCCCAAGAGTGCTCACCCTCGATGACTGGAATAATGCACCAGAAGAGGAGCAGGAATGATCAAAAGTCATACATTAATCCCCAAACTAGCCCTAGCTAGTAGAGACATCCTGGAACACTGCAAATTTAAGCAACTCCACGTTCCAGGGGACCCTTAGTCAAATTCACCATTATATAAGCAAAAAGCCTCCTGACAATCATCATTTAATAATGACTCTTTTTCTCTTTCTCTCAGGAAAAAAGATGAAAATAAATTGAATGTTAATTATTTTGATCAAGTAAGTCACAAGAGCTGTGTGCATCTTTCCAGAAGGATAAATTTCATACGATCATAACAAATGAAGTATGCAGTACTTGCAAAGTACCAATGAGCAATCTTTGTCCCCCAAATATGACAGCTTGCTGGCTAATAACGTTACTAAAGAACAGAGGGAGGCCTGTCCTTTGAACCCATTTCTACTGAAGTAAGGAAGTTATGGTTGGACATTAGCACTGTTAATCATTTCTGTCAATCATTTTTATAACCAGAAACGGTTATAAAAACCCCAGAATGCCTCCCAAACTTTACAGCATTTGCCCTGTGGCAAACAAACCACCTTCACATGAAATAAGGGATTCGGGACTGCTTAGATTTTTGGGAAAAGTGGGGAGAAAGGGAGGGAGAAAGAAATCTCACATTCGGAGGACTGAACCCATCACGGTACTACCTGAATGTCGTATGATATTGGATATTGCTCAAGGAAGCAGCAAACTCTTTGACTAAATTCTTGTCTCATGAAATTTTTAGCTTTTAGATCATTTTCTTAAAGCAAGACAAAATTACGTCCAGCCAAGGAGAAGGAAACTGCTGCTAATTTTTGGCAAGCAACTCCGTCTTTATCCCCAGGACCCGTGCTTTGGAGCAGCTTCATTCAAATGTGCAGGAAACAGATGACTGGCCTTTGAGAGGGGATAGATGGACTCTGTCGCAGTGTATGACAAAATAGAGCTGAAATGTTCATGTGCACCATACAGCTCCAGAGTCCTGAGGCTTATTTCTGTGAATCATGCATGAGAATCGGTCTTACTACCTTGTGGTCAATCCCCTGTACACGCTGCCAGTGAGAAACAGGACAACAGCTGGCAACTCAGTCTTTATCCCCAGGATCCGTGCTTTGGAGCAGCTTCATTCAAATGTGCAGGAAACAGATGACTGGCCTTTGAGAGGGGATAGATGGACTCTGTCGCAGCGTATGACAAAATAGAGCTGAAATGTTCACGTGCACCATGCAGCTCCAGAGTCCTGAGGCTTATTTCTGTGAATCATGCATGAGAATAGGTCTTACTACCTTGTGGTCAATCCCCTGTACACGCTGCCAGTGAGAAACAGGACAACAGCTTAACCACATACTCCCCCCAGGCCACTTGCTGCCGTTAACCATCTATTTCTAGTTTTCTCTTTTAAAGCTATCCTGAGGTTCACTTAACTCACATCTGATTGGCATAAAAATGCTAACTGAATAAGAAGCAATTTAGTAATCAACAAATATTTATTGAATATCTCCAGTATACTAAGGAGTGTTTCAGGTAATGTGGATACAAGAGAGGCAAATTTTCACCCATTAAACCTCTGCATTTGGGGAGGGGGGTGGCCTGGCCATGGGGATCGAACCCTGGACCTTGGTGTTACCAGCACCATGCTCTAACCGGCTGAGTTAACCATCCAGTCAACAATCCTATTTTAAAGCAGATTTGCAACCATAAGCACTACTGGTTCACATCCTGGAGTTTCTTCTTTTTTATTCCTTTTTGTCTTTTTTCACGTCCGGCAATGGATCGCAACCCTCAGTGTCGCGCCCGTACCAGACCGGGACCGGCAACGGGATCGCAACCCTCGGTGCTGCGCCCGAACCTCACTCAGCCAGTGAGTGGGAACCGGTCTGTATGTGGGATCTGACCCCTTGGCGGGAGCGCCGCCACACTCCCAAGCGGCGCACTGTAGCAGTGTGCCACCGGGCCGGCCCTCACATCCTGGAGTTCTGAAAAGGAAAATATATTTATTCTCTTTCTCTGTCCCTCTTTATTCTTCATCATATTAACATCCTGGAGTTTCTGAAAAGGAAAATATATTTATTCTCTTTCTCTGTCCCTCTTTATTCTTCATCATATTAACATAGAAAAGGGAAAATTAGAAAGATAATTTCTGGGAAATAAGAAAGGTTTTTTTGAAGCATCATAGAGTTTGATGTGTGTACGGTTTCTGCTCTGTACCTGAACATCTATAACACATGGAGAGAGTATTTTTTTCATTTGCTATTTTGGTTCAGGTGTTTTATAATGTGCCATAGCCACAAACATACCAAGTTATTAAGCACAGGAAGTGTGGGTAGCTTCCTGGTCACGATTTGAGGTGTGGAGAGAGAATACCCAATGCAAACACCACAACCCCTCTCTTAGGCGTTTCTGTTCTGCCTGAATTTCCACTACCTAGGTCAGTCCTTTATTTTAAGGTCTTGTCATCATCACAGTATCATCAGTGCCAACAGACATTTACGGAAGAGTTGCCATGTGTAGAATTCACTGCCAGGCACTGAGCAGCTTTTTCCAAAGGGCTCCAGTTAAAAATCCACTGTGATATTTACTGGGATGGTACATTTACCCTCACCCATCCGTTAGTGATGACTGCCATATCAACAGAGTAATAGGATGATACCTAGAAGACACTAACATCTCCTAGAAGAGAGAAAGAAACACAGGACAAGTAAGTTTTCATTGGGATGAGTTTGGTCATTGGAATAGATCATTACAGTATCTTGCCTTGACTTAGAAAATAGTCATGTTCCTATTCAGGTTGATTCACTCCTCCCCTCTCTTACTTTTAAAATAAAATCCTACTTTTAAATACCTTAGTGAAGCCCCAAATGTAAAGAAATGGGATGAATCCTTGGCCATGAAAATTTATCCATCTGACAAACATTTAGTGAGCATCTACTGCATAACAGGCACTGTTGGAAGTACCTGGGAAACACCAGCAAATGTAGCAAAGCTTGCTGGCCTGTAAAATTTAATATTCAAGCAACAGACCATGTAATTGATCCACTGCTGATGTGAAATTCCATAAATCTGATTTTAACCAGTGGGATTTTTTTTCAAAGCAGAAGCTTCAACAGCCCAGTACCTATTTGTCAAGACTTACAGCATCAGTTCCAAAAGCAGGCTCCTCAGTTCTTATTCAGAGGCCAGCTCACAGAGAAAGGGAAACCACATACTCACACCTTTCTAATGAGTCAGAGCTTTCTTTTAGGAGATCTCTCACTTAAGTCATTACAAAAGAACTCCAGCAAATGGTTCTTCAGCTGCTTGGCTACTCTCAGAGTGAGTGCTGGGACCCAGGGGCTTCTGTTATGTAAGGAAATTGTTCTCATTCAGGTGGAAAGAAGGAGTGTTTGGGGCTCTAGGAGGAGCGCACTATGGTGTGTGGTGTGGACTCAGAGGACTGGCAACCTGGGTTTGTGGCCCAGCTTAATCCAGTATAGTATGTACAACCCCCAGTAACCTCTTTAGCCTCTCTGACCCTCCGTCTCCTCCTCTAAAGCTAATCACATGCAGGTCAGCACCATCCTGTCAAGTGCCTGGCACACCCCTCGTGCCCAGAAGGCACTTGCTGACAGTAGTTTTCCTTGTCTTCTATGAAAAGAAAGCAGTAGCTAAGGCAAAGGGGAAATTGAGCAGCCCCGATGAGCTGAGCCATGAGCTATGGGCTTTATGAGGCCTTTCTCATTTGATCCATAAAATGAATATGAATTAAAGATGCTATTATCTCTTCTTTACTGACGAGGTGAATAGCCTGAGTCCAATCAGGAGGTAGAAACCTCACAGGAGGTCATATAAGGGAAGTTTAATACAAAGAATTGTTAACTGTGCTAGAAGAGTGTCATGAGGTATAAGGGAATTCTGTGATACTCTAGGGTGAGGCAAAGTACTGAGGAAGGGCAAACTTGGAGGGGTTCAGACCCAGCTACAGAAGGTGTGGTCAGGCCACCAGACAGCAGAGAAGTTCACTGGTTTAGCCAGGGCAAAGCAGGTTTGGACCTGCTGGGTGAGCAGTAGTAAAGTGTAGGCAGGGAGCATGCTACAACCAGTAGCATGGGAATGCACTAGAATCTGGGCACTGGCAGGGGCACGGGCTGAGGCCTTCAGACCCTGTGGGCTGCATGTGGTGGGGGTGAGGGGCTTGCAGAAATAACAACAGCTCTGTGTGCCTGGGCCTCAGAAGGCTGTGTACAGGCCACATGGGGGATTGTGGAGGCAGCCTGGGTGTCAGTATGGGCTGGAAGCCTTGAGAGCAGGCAGGCCATGTGGGGCCCTGGTTTCTGAAAAGAGAGGGCTGCAGAAAGGTTATCACTAGGCAAAAGCTACCAGATCACAGATGGACCACGGGCTGGTGGGGCAGGCTCTACAAGTGACCATACCCCATCTCACCCCATCTCACTAACCCCACCATTGCTGAAATGACAGAAATCTTCTTCCTCCTGCAGTGTCCTTCCAGCGCCCTCTATGGAGAAAGCTAACTTTACTTAGTTGGTTACTTTAAAGAAAAATAATGAAATTCTGTCATCACGGAGTGTACGTATATTGAAGGATGAATTGAGAGCTGAGAGGTATGAATTGGGAACTGAGAACTGACACATGAGGCCAATGATGTTCAAGGGTTAGATCTCCCTAGCAATCCACAGTCAATGGCAGAACCAGGACTTAAAACCAAGTCTGTCTGGTTACGAAGCCCTTTCCAACCCAGCTCTTCTAATCAGAGAAGTTGGAACAACCCCCCTTGCCACAGCAAAGGCTGGGGACTCCACTTCATGTAAACCCAGAACTTCTGAGCGCCCAAGACACTGTGGACATAAGACTGCAATGGTCCTTCTTCATGCAACATGACCAACTGCTGACGTGT